CCCCTCACCGTGCCCTGCTCAGCCTGCCCCCTGCTCTGTGTGAGGTGGCAGTGCCTTGCAGGGCTAGAGGTGCCACTCACCGTAGCAGAGCCTGGTCCATCCCTGGGCAGTGCTGGAGTGCAGGGCACCAGTGGGAAGGTCTCTGCTGCAGGATCACCATCCCAGCTGCCCCGCCAGGGAGGGGCCTCTGGCCACAGGCACACAAGCCAGGCTCCAGGTGTTTGCTTTGCATTCTCCCAGGCTGATGATAACCACCTGCTCCCCAGCCAAGGCTCCAGCTCACCATGCTGAAATTCAAGAGGTATTTGATCACGTAAGTGGATTTTTTTTAATGTATTTATTAAAGTAAAATACTGTTTTCCTAAGTAAAATTCTCTTTCCAGCCTACCTAGAGGTGATGTCCTTGTGGGTCCCCCTGTATTGGGAAACAGGTGGAGACTGAAGTGGTGATGGGAATAGGCAGAGGAGCATTTCTGCTCTGTTTCTGTGCGGGGCGGTCTGGGGTGATGGGGCTTTCCTCTTCTGGTGAAGTTCCAGTGGCAGCAGGAAAACAGCATCTTTTGCAAGGCTGTTGCCACAAAAGGAGCATGGCAAAGAGAGAGCAAGTAGGATCATAGGCTCATAGAATCACAGAATTCTTTGGGTTGGAAGGGACCTTAAAGTTCATCTGATTCGTCCCCCCTGCCATGGACAGGGACACCTTTCACTAGACCAGGTTGCTCATCCAGCCTGGCCTTGACCACCTCTGGGTGTAAAGGCAGGACACTGGTCCCTCCTGCTGCATTCCAGGTGAGGGATCACCAGCAGAGTAGACATGGAGCAGAAATGTGACTGTGCAAGTCTTTCACATGGCCACCCCAGCGAGTGCAGGTAGGGTGAGGTGCCTCCTCCACAGCCTCCGCTTTGGAGAGGATGGACAAGGATCAGGGAAGGGCAAGGGTTGATTTCACAGCAAAGTCCTTTGGCTGGAGGAGAGTGTTTTGGGACTGAAGTGCGAGGGGGCTCAGGATCATTCCCATCCCAGCTCTGTCAAGGGTAGGGTGGGCACTGACACAGGCAGGCAGTGCCATTGTACCCTCATTGTGCTGCCTTATCTTCTCCTGAGCGTCCCAATGACTGTTTTGCCCATTTTCTTATTTATTGGGGAAAAAAAAAAAAAAAAAAAAAGCTCCAATTACTGGTCAGAGGAAGCAGGCTGTGGCTGTTGTACAGATGGTGTACACTAATTCCCTGTGTAAAATTGCTGCTTTCTGGAGCACACCTGGGCACAGCAAATCAATAAAGTCTTTTTCTGCCACTTATCTGCCTGGTGAACTCCGCCCCGGCACCTCCCGCAGCAGGACCCTGCAGGGCTTGGGCAGCAGCCAACCACAGGCCCGTCCCCTGCGGGGACTTCTGTGTTGGATTGGGATGGGGCACAGGTCAGGCAGAAGCAGATCCTCCTCTGCTTCAAGCAGAGGGAAAATAAGGGCAGGGAATTCCGCAGTACTGCTGCGATCCAGCAGCATCTGCTGCCGAGCAGCACCCCAGGCTGCTGGGACACCCTCCCCTGCTGGGACACAGCACTTGAGACACAGCAGGGGACATCATCCCTTGCAAAGAAACGACCAGCACATTGGGTTTGGATTAAATCCCTTGAGCCAGCACAGGAGGATTCAGCTGCTGTGGCTCTGCCACTGTGACCCCTCACAGCTGAAGGCATCTCTAGGGTGCTGCATCCATCTCTGCACTTTTGGAGGTGACAGCTCACAGGCTCTGACCTGAGGGGGTTCTTCAGCTACAGCCTGCCGATGGAGGCATCTCCAGAGACTCTGCAGGAGCTGGGCTCTTGCAGCCCAACCCACCCTGCAGGGCAGTGCTGGCTCCCAGCAGCTCCGAGTGCACCTTGGACACCTTCTGGTGCTTTGGTCTCAAGTATTTAACTCTGCCCCAAGGCATTCATGATCCTGATCCCATCCTGGTGTGTTAAATGGAGAGAAGGCTGTGCAGGGGTTATAAATGGAAGGCAGCTGAGCCTTCTGAAGGCTCATTGTCCAGCTACAACTCATCCAGCTGCTCCAGCCTCCAAGACAACGGCTGCTAGTGCTACATGTGCCTAGTAATCCAGGTTTTTCAGCCTTCAGTGCAATTTCTTGGCATCTTCAGCACAAACTTCAGTGCTGCCACTTGCTCAGCACACCCTCCTTTGATGCTCACGTGTCCCACCAGAGCCAGCCTGGAGGAAGGAAGGAAGGAAGGGTTCTGTTTTTCTGCTGGCCTGACTAGACCCAAGCACAACACGTGCTGTGTGTTCTTAACCTCGTGTTCAACCAACACAGTGACCGCCTCAAAAGAGCAAAAGGACCTGGATCTTTCCCGGGTTCTCTACAGGCTGAGAGTTTAGGACCCTTGTGGAGGCAAGTCCAGAATTATATCTGCACCAAATACTTGAGAAGTGTTGCATCATTCTGCTTTTGTTACTGGGTGCTTGTGTAGATCCCCCCCACAAGAGAAAGTATGAGTGTATCAGTAAATACCACAGTTATTCACCTCTTCATTCCCTTCTTGCTACTTGTCATGGACTTACCTTGATTTTGGAGAGTTGGATCAAGTTGCCCACCAGATCTGTCCAGCAGAGTCACTTCTTCCCAAAGCAGCTCCTCCCCCACTGCCTTCTCCCTCTTTGGTCTCTGATCTTCCACACAGAGTTCTTTCAACAAGCCTTTCCTCATACCAGCTCTGGGGCAGCCTCAAGTCTCTGCTTCCACCCTCTCCCTTTAACATCCCTTGGCATTTTAAGAGCTGTTAAAGCATCTGGCATTTTTCTGCTCCATTGCTTGTCATGCCCATTCATCTTTGACAGTGTGAGGCTCTCCTCATGCTGCTGGCACGGCCAGGCAATGAGCCACAGGCACATTTGCCAAACACCTGTCTCATCCCAATTTGGCAACCTGTTCCCCAAGTGAAAAAGAGCATGGGTACCACCAGGTTGCCATCAGATTTGGAGATGCTGTGCTGCTGACGTGTAGTAATTTTCTGCCTTTTGAATCCCCAGTAGCACTGCCACGACCTAAGACCTCTCAGTCCTTCCAGTTCCAAGTACTTTAGAAACTACAAACCTCCTGGGAGGAGCTCAGTGCTTCAGCTTGGTAAAGGATGTTACTGGGAGCAGGGCAGAATCATATCCATGAGTGTCCAAATCACTGGAAGCAGCACTGTCATTGTCAAACTACTATTCAGTCATAACAGTTGATGGTTTTTCTGGAACAAATCCAGTTTCTCAATAACAAATCCTAATTTGTGACCTGTCTGATGCACGTGACCACTTTGGACACCCCACATTTGTGTCACTGCTGGCTCACCAGGCAAGTACTGCTCCCACGTGTCACAGGACTGTCTGGAGTAGGAGATAAAGCATCCTGGAGGTTAAGAAGCTCCAGGACAAGCAGGTCTGTGCAGTCCCAGTCCCACTCTCTTGGTCCAAAACTGACCACTGCAGGAAGCGAGCAAGGCCAGCCAACACAGATTAGCTGTCAGAATGTGGCTTCTAAGCACACTCTGATCACATTTCTGTTTTCATTAATTCTTCTTATTTAGATCCCTCCATTTCTTGCTCAGTAAAGCAGGCTGGGACCCCCCCTGCCTCAGAGAGGGGGAGAGCAGGCACCTGGGGCTGGCAGGCTGGACCCCACACACAGCAGAGCCCAACCCAGAGGATTTAGCCAGATCCTTGGTACAAATAATTGCAACAATTGGCAACAGGTAACAGGCAACAATTGGCTCCCTGGGTAGAAACCAGCAGAATCACAGGATCATTCAGGTGGGAAAAGCCCTCTTAGATCATTGAGTCCAATTGTTCCCCCAGCACTGCCAAGGCCACACTAAACCATGTTGCCAAGTGCCATATCTACACCTCTGTTAAATCCCTCCAGGGACAGTGACTTCACCACTGCCCTGGGCAGCCTCTGACAGGGCTTGACCACCCTTTCCATGAAGAAATAAAATGCAAACTAATTTTTTTTTTCCCAGGAAACTTAGCCCCCCAACTGCTCCACTAAAGATTAGGACTACAACTAAGCTCTACCAGGGTGTTGCAGCAAGTCCTGCAAGCAGTAGAAGCCCCATGGCAGTGTTTTCTATGGCCTCCTTTACCTCACACATGTTTCTTCTCCCCATAAATGGTCTGAAATATCTGCTTCCTTGCAGGAAGTTGAATGCAGTCTACAGGTGCCAGCCAGGTCGGCTCTGGATCTTCTTCAGCCTCCTCATCCTCCTCCTGGTCACCCTTCAAGTCATGGAGAAGCTGCAGCCTCCCAGGTAGGTCCAAAGCAGGATTGCAGAACTGCACATCATCCTCCAGCCTTTTGTTGACCACTGAGTTGGGCTCAAAACTGCCCTTCTTAAAACCACCCAACAGGGTCTTCCTTAGACAGGGAGGAAAATCCAAGTGGGAGAGGACCCTCTGAGGCTCTCACATCCCACCCCTACACCCTGGTCAGAGCTGAGCCCACTCTGGGGTCAGGTCAGGCTGCTCTGGGCTTTGTCCTGCCTTACCATAACACCCTACAGATCTTGACTTCACTTGTCCCAGTCTGTGGGGACTGCAATTGTTCCTCCAGCTTCTCCAGGCAACTTGGTCTTCTCTGACTTTGCCTGCTCTTGCTTTGCCCCTTCCATCGCAAGACAAAGGCATCAACACAGGCTGCTGACCTGTCCTTCTCTTCTTCATAGAACTATAGAATCCTTAAAGGTTGGAAAACATCTCTGAGCTTTTTAAGGCCAACTCCTTGTACCCATCCCAACTCCCCAGGGCAGCGGTGAAGCCCTACACTCACCAGCAGTGCCACCCACCCCAGGAAAGATGAGGAAACACACTTGGTGGTGTCTGTGGGAGGGCTCAGGGGTGCTCACTGGGCTGTGGAGTTGTCCTCTCCATGCTCCTTCCACCCTCTGCAGCTGAGCATCGTGTCCTCCCCGTTACAGGAACTGCTGGTGTGAGGTGGAACGTGACCTGCAGCAGAGCACAGACCAGGAGCTCGGCTCTGGCCTCCAAACACCTGACCTGCCCCAGGAGGACAATTCCCTGCAGTGGCAAAGGAAAGCTGTGCCAGACCCCACTTTGACTGAAGACCTGCATGTCAGCTGGGAGACCCCTCTGGAAAGCAGCCCAGGCAGCCAAGAGGAGCATAGGACACGGCAAACGGTGGAGAGCAGTAAGAAGGTGGAAGCTCATCTCTTGCCCAAGAAGCTGAAACCCCAACTCCCTGGCCTGAGAAAAGCAGCCAGAGCAGGTCCTTCTCCAAGCCTTCCTGGCAGGATCGCCGCAGTTTTGGCAGGAGCTGTCTCCAGGCAGTTCATCGTCTTTGCGAACAGACTGAGCACTAGGGAGAACAGGCAAACATCACTGCCCAGAATGACACAGGTGGAGGTACAGAACCAGTCTCAGCCTCAAGCCATGGCTTCTCCCAGCCATCAGAGGGGCAGTTCACTGACACACCCCATCCCAAACTCAGCTCAAGCCCTGCAGGCAGAGGACTTTAACGAAACACATCTGGAGACAGGATTTTTCCTAAACTGGACAGCAGCCTCTACGGTCAAGCAGGTGACAAATGGAGGTCAGAGGGCCAGAGGAGTCGCCCCTCAAGGCAAGACGTGTGAGCCCCAGACTGACATTGTTTTCCTCAAAGTGCACAAGAGCGCCAGCAGCACCGTCATGAACATCCTCTTCCGCTTTGGTGAGACGCACAACCTCACCTTCGCCTTCCCCGTGGGCGGGGGCTTCCAGCTCTACTACCCCCACCACTTCATGGCAAAGTTCGTGCAGGGCTTCTCTCCCAAGAGCCCCCAGCGGTTCAACATCCTCTGCCACCACATGCGATTCCTGCAGCCAGAGGTACAGGCAAAGCCGTGACTGCTGGGAAGGGCGAGCAGGGGAGGGAGACAGGGGCTCACGGGGTGCAAGGTGGGGCACCTGTAAAGCACCTAAACTCTTCAGGGATGAATCACAGAGAGCCAGGATTGCCCACAGGTACCTTTCACGTTGCTGGCATCTCCTGAGAGCTTCTGGGAGCAGGTTTGAGGAGTCACTGTGCTGTGACCCATGACAGGATGGGAGACAGCGTCTGTAGCAATCAGCAGCTATCATCTCCTTCTTGTCTGGTGGGCTCTGGGAGATGTCCTGTTCCCTGGACAGGCCATCAGGAAACCACTGGAGGAGAACATCTAAAGTGCATCAGTTCAGGTCAGCCATGCTCAGCATCCACCCCTCTGGATGCCACTGGATGATACACAAGTCTTGGGAAAGGCAAGGAGACAGGATGTATCTCCATCCTGGAAAGCCCACACAGGTGTGGCAGCACATGGGGAGGTTTGGCCACTGCTCCCCTCATGTGGGTCTTCTGGGGCTCTCCAGCTGGGGCAGCTCCTTGGATGAGCTGCACCTTGAAACCCTCCCCAGCACCCACCATCTCCCGCCCCGGTGAGCGCCTCTGCTTGCCAAGATTGTGGGCAACCGGGTCCCTTCTCCCTACCCCACCTTTAAGCCCTCCTTTTTCTCCTCCACAGGTGCAGAAAGTGGTGCCCAGCTCTGCTGTCTACTTCTCCATCCTGAGGAACCCCGTGCAGCTCATGGAGTCCTCCTTCACGTACTACAAGGGCGCGTCAGCTTTCTCACATGTGCGCAGCCTGGAGGAGTTCTTGAGCCAGCCCCACCTCTACTATGACCCCTCCAAGGGCGACAGCAACTATGCCAAGAACCTCATGACCTTCGACTTTGGCTTCAACCCCAATGCTGAGGTGTCTGCTGAGCGGGTGCAACTCATGGTAAAGGCCATCGAGGCGTCCTTCGACTTACTCCTCATCTCCGAGTACTTTGACGAGTCCATGGTGCTCCTGAAGGAGATGCTGTGCTGGGACCTGGACAGCGTCGTCTCCTTCCCGCTCAACACCAGGGACAGCAGCACGAAGTCCTTCCTCTCAGACAGCGTCGTGGAGAAGATAAAGGAGTGGAACAGGCTGGACTGGGAAATCTACATCCACTTCAACAGGACTTTCTGGGAAAGGATCGACCGAGACATCGGCCGGGAGCGCATGGAGCGGGAAGTGAGGGCGCTGCGGGAGCGGCAGGCAGAGCTGGCGAGGACCTGCCTGCAGGGCACGGGTGGCGTGGCCCCGAAGGACATCAAGGACTCCTCCCTGCGGCCACTGCAGTACGGCAGCGCCAGGATCTTGGGCTATAACCTCAAGCAGGGCTTGGATAAGGAGACGGAGCACATGTGCCGGCGCCTGGTGACCCCGGAGCTGCAGTACAGCAGCGCCCTCTACAAGAAGCAGTTCCCCCCAGTGCCCCCCGAGACCCCCCAGCCCACTCCCTCTGGGCAGGGCAGTGCCCCGCAGCACAGGCTGGAGGACACCCAACACTGAACCTCCCCGCCCCCTCCAGACACCTTCTCCAGCCGCCTTGGCTGAGGACAGCGAGGCACTCGGATCCTGGGATTGGGAGGAGGATGGGCTGGGGGGTGCTGTCCAAGGCAGCCCACAGTCACCTCTGACTGTGCAGGACTGTGCACAAGCTCTGGGTGGTACACACTGCTGTGGAGCAGGACGGGCTGACACGGGGGGTCCCAGGGGCTTGACATGACTTTTCCAGAGAGAACACCTCCACCCCCCCGCCCCCGTCAGCAGCCGAAGACTAAGCAGGAAGGAGCAGATCCAGGAAGGCAGCCCCAGTCCCCACGCCAGAGACTGCAACGGTGCAGGGCCAAGCTGTAAATCAGAGCTTTGGAGTTTGATTTACAGCTTGGGAATGAGTCTCTCTGTCCGTCCAGCTGCAGCTCTCCTCCGCTCTGCCTTAACGCTTCCATGCTGGAAAAGCAGCCTCTTAATTAAAAATAACAGTATCCACAGCCACTCCTTAAATTCCCCTTAATTACATCAGCCTGCCCAGTAGACAATCTCCCCAGCAGCCCAAGAAACAGAGCCCAAATATCCGAAAATGCCTTGAAAAGCAAAACCCAGCAATTTTTTTCCCCTGGCTCTGTGGTGACCTTGCCTTCGGATGCTGCATTTATAGGATCAGCATCCTACCCTGGAGCTGATGCCATGGCACTGGGGTGTCAGACTGCAAGTTCCATACCCATGGGACTGGGGGACGTCTCGTGAGCATCTCTGCAGCCAGACATCCCAATCCACCACTCGGAGTGGCTGTAGGAACATCCTACGCTGTGCCTGGGGAAAGGTACCACAAGAATGGGGTTGTGGTGGGCGAGTCAGCCTTACTTTCCACATCCTGCACTTATTCTCAAATCAGAAGCAGAGCCAGCAAATCAGCTGGGATAATTGGAGGCCTCATCTCTGGGTTTTTCAGCATGATTTCCAAACCAAGAGAGGTTCAGGAAAAATTGCATGGGGGGATCTGAGCATCCCAGGCTCTCCCTGGGGCAGCCACATGAAGCCTCAGAGGTTTAGGTTTACATCCAAAGGTGTCCTGTTTCCTGCTCTGTTTAACCAGGATAAAAGCCACACCGTGCTCCCAGTGCCATTCCTGGGGCAGTGCCAGGCATCAGGCAGGGCAGAATGTGGGGGCACCATTTTGGGGGTGTTTGCTGTGTGGCTTTTGGGGTGTTGTTCATTTGATAAAGTTTAATCTCTGGGGCACATCCACACATCGCTGTGTTGGTTCCTTCCCTCATTTCTCCTGCTGGGATGTGGTGTGGGCTCATGGCTTGCAGAGGTCTGGATCCTCTTAGGGTTGCTGGGGGGCCTGCAGGTCACCCCAGAGAAAAACCACAGGGATGGACAGCCCAGGGGCAGCACAACACCCTGGGATTATCCCCCAAAACCTTTCATGGGAGGGGTGCAGGAAGGAGCAGGGCTGAGTGCCAGATACCAAACCTGCATCTGACACTCACTCTGGATTTCAGGTGGGTGCCTCTTCCTCATTCCCTGTTTGCACCTCAGGAAACAGGAGGAGACTATCCCTGCTCAAGCTCCTGCCAAGGTGACCCAGCGCAGGGACACTGGTACAGCTGGAGCATCGTGTCCCCCCTGTGCTCTTCCCTGGGATGCAGCATCCATGGAGGGCCCTGGGCCCAGCACAGCCTGGGGAGATCCCTGTTCACCCAGCAGGTGTTTCCCATTTTCAGGGATCAGATGGGCTGATATCCCCCAGCAGAGCTCACAGGAACAACATCACTGACTCAAATGCCAACCACAACATTTTTTACTATTATTATTGTTCCCACAAACCGTCATTTTATCTTTAGGAATATTTCACGTGGACAAGGAATGGAGCCCAGGGATGCACTTGCTCAACCACACTGGCTGCCTGGGTCTCTTTTTTTTCCAGCTGCAGTCCCTTTGTGCATCATTTCTCGATGTTGTACAGCACCAAGCCCCTGGCCAAGCACATCCCCCAAGGAGCAGGGTCTCCCATGGCCAGTGAACTCACTTGCCCTGGAGCATTTTTAATTCCTCTCCAAGACCTGTCAGGCTCAGCCTGTGCAACTCAACATCCTCAGTTCAAGTCTGACTCAAAACCCACCACTTTTTGACCAATATTCATTAATAACTCGAAAGATCAAAGCCTGCCTCCTCCCCATTCTAAGTTTCCAAGGTGGTTTCTGGTTTATACTTTGTTTTTATGGCTGCAAGAGACCCAGTGAGGCTATTTCAGGTGTTGCATGATGCAATAACCCGGAGTTGCTCAAGCCTGCCCATGTAATAGTCTTTCTGTGAGCTTCCTGGCAGTGCAAGACAATCAACAATTTATGCAAAAGTGTTAGTTTTTTTCTCTCTGAGATAACAATGAAGGCTTGGAACATTTCGGGCTCTCCAGGGAGTCTTTCAAAGCTATTCCCAAAGGAGCTCAGGGACTCACACATCCTGCAAGGATTTCTTTGTGATGCTTTAAAACAAGTCTCACCCTGTGGCAGGGACTGAACTTGCAGGATGAGCAGCAAAATCTTCCATGCCTGGAAACTCTTTCCCAGGAGAGGGGCTGCGGGGACCCCCTCTTCCCACAGCTCAGGCACGAGGCTCGGGCTTGCTCTTCCCCCCCTTCCTCTTCCTCTTCGGTTCGTCACCCTCCTCGTGCGCTGTCACCTTCACCTTGGGTATCTTGTATTTGCTCTTCTGGCTGTAGAGGAGGTTTTTCTGGAAGAGCCGTGGGATGTTGCCCTGGTACAGCAGGAGGGCAGCAAACATCCCTGGAACGAGAGCACAGACCCTTCCGTGTCCTGCACTGAGCACCTCCACCCTCCCCACGGCTCAGCCGTGATTTCCAGCTCCGCAACCATCCCCATGACCAAAAGGCAGCTCAGCAACACCGAAGCCTTCACTGAGAGCTGACAGACCTTTGCTGTATGGCTTTAAGGAGAATTTAACCAGCGTTTCCTTGATGTAATAAGCTTGTTTGGACCCAAAAAGGCCACAGACCACCCCTGTGGTCTTTTGCCACGAATCATTCCGGTTGGCAAAGCCCTCCAAGACTGTTGAATCCAACCATTCCACCCTCACTAACCCATGTCCCCAGGTGCCACATCCACATGGCTTTTAAATCCCTCGAGAGATGGTAACTCAATCCCCGCCCTGGGCAGCTCTGCCAGTGCCTGACCACAATTTCAGGGAAGAAACTTTCCCTTAAACCTCCTCTGGTACAACCTGAGGCCGTTTCCTCTTGTCCTGATGCTTGTTACCTGGGAGAAGAGACCAACCCCTATCTGGCTCCACCCTCCTGTCAGGGAGTTGTCCCCACTCCTGCATTCAAGGCAGCCCATATCCAGCTCCCCGTGATCATCCTGAGGCTGTGGACAACCCCCAACCACAGCTCAGCCTATCATTGCTCTAAAACACCTTTGCTTTATTCTCCCCCAACCTCTGGCCCATGTCCTGTGCAGAAATTAGATTAAAAAACTTAGATAGCAAAGAGAAGACTCCAGAGAGAAGGAAGCTGGAGGAAAAGTAACACTTGCCACTGCCAAGACCCAAGTTCAGCCCTTTACAGGACTGACATGTGTTAGACCTGGCATTTCTGCTTTGCCCACTGCCCCCCATCCCAGCCCCTGCCCCCGGGAAGATCTCACCTGCGAGAGGCCCCAGCCAGTACACCTGGACATAGTCCCAGAAGCTGTTCCCCGAGCAGTGGAAGGTGGTGGCTGTGGCCAGGGCAGGGTTGAAGAAGGCCCCTGTGAATGATCCAGCTGTGTGGGAAGAGAAATATGGCCAAGGGTCTCACCTGCATCCTTTGGGACACCAACAAACAGCTGGGCCTGGAGACTGTGACCCCTCCTGCCTGCCTGGAGCATCTCTGCTACTGCCCAGCTCCAGCAGCTGCATCCCCTGGACAGGGAAAATTCCACCCTTGTCATCCTGAGCTTTGCAGGAAGCAGAAAAGCTCAGTTTGGAGCTGAGGGGTTTCATCAGGGGACAATGAAGGGAAGCGATTCCAGTCCTGGGCCAAGCTCTGGCTTCCCATGAGCCAACATTCAGCTGCTGCCCAGATATCCTAAATGGCTCTCTTCATCCCAAAGTGACTGTTCCCCAAATTAAATAGAAAACAAACATCATGTCAGTCGTTACCTCGTTAATCGCTACCTCTCCAGTCCTGGCAGATGAAAAAGGGGCTGTCCCTCCCCCACAAGTTGGGTATTTTTCTAAATGACTCAAAAGTGCTGCTCACCTGTGTAGGTCAGGAAGGTGACGGTCGCTGCCCGCGCAGGGACCTGGTAGATGGGGTGACTCTGCTGTGACTTGAGGAGGACAAGGTGGAACAGGAAAGAGCAGGTGCCTTCCACGAGGGCAGCGTGGAGCAGGGAGGTGTGGATGGAGGAGCTGCACTCCGATGAGATGAGGTTCTGGATGAAGTGGAACTGTGTCAGCTCCCAGGACCAGAAGAGCTTGGTGACAGCCCAGCCTGTCCCTGTGCCCACACCCTGGGCCAGCAGCTTAGCAGCTGTGGCTGCCAGGCTGGAGTCGAGGAGCAGGAACTCCTGGACACAGACAGTTGGGTTGGCAGATGCTCCGTCAAAAGAGGCACCATGAACAGCAAAGAGGAGGAAGAGAAGAGTCAGGATCACGTCCAGGCCGAAGCCACCCCCCCACGGGCCGATGTCCATCAGCATCCTCAGCTCCAGGCAGCTCATGCACAGCTGTAACGACCCAGCAAGTTCTCTGGCAAGGCAGCCATATGCTCTGGGAGACAGGAGCCTCTTGGAAAGCCACCTGAGTGCCTGGCACATCCCAACAACCAGGAAAAAAAAAGCAATGGAGACATTGAGGGCGTCCATAACGAGAGCTGTGCTGGGGGGAAAGTCTGGACCAAACCCTGGGAAGGAGCAGGGGAAGCTCCCACAGCTTCTCTTTATAAAGCCCCATGAAAGCAAACGTGGCACAGCCCGACAGGCCTGGGAAATGCCACATGTGTGGCCTCCACAGGGCAATGCCAGCTGCCTCCAGGAACTGATGGAATCACAGCAGCTGGAGCAGCCAACACGGTGTTTGTCCCAGCAAGGAGGTGCCAGTTTTATCCCCACTGGGCCCCCAAGCCCAGCATTCACACCTGAGAGCCCCCAGCAGCTCCCCAGAGCTGCCAGGTCTCCCAAAAGGAGCAAAACAATCTTCATTTGGTTTCTGCTTGGCTCCAATCCCTGTGGCTGCCCCATCCCTCAAAGTGTCCAAGGCCAGGTTAGACAAGGCTTGGAAGAACCTGGGATAGTGGAAGGTGCCCCTGTCCATGCCAGGGGTTAGAATGAGATGAGCTTTGAGGTCCCTTCCAGCCCAAACCATTCGGGGGTTCTATGATAAAACACAACCTACCACCCCCTTCCCAAAGCCCAGGACATGAGGGGACCCAGCAACCCATTCAAGGTGTGCTGGTGGGTATCCCAAACTCCTCTCACCACCCCGTCACACACAAAGAGCCAACAGTTTCCATTATTGCCATTTTATTTCCACCCCCCATGTTATTTATAAAAGACACTGCCAGGAACCGCAGGTTTGAAGCGCACTTGAGCCAGGGATGAGGCACCTCAAACAATTCAAACCTGCTACAGACACACAGACCACACCATGAAAATCTGAAGGCACTGGAGCCACTTGGCCTCCTTCCCCTGATAGCCCTTGGAACAGTGAAAAGAAAGCAGGACCTTTTAGGAGGGCATTTTGGTGATGTTGGTGGAAGTCTCAGCTCAGCATCTCCCCCTGCAACACTTTCCCTCTCCTCGTCTTCCCTCCCCCTCATTCCTACCCCCAAGTGCCCACCCCACAGCGGTTTAGGGAAGGACCCCTTGGATCATTTCTCACAGCACTCGCTTTGGAAACCATGGGAAGTCTGAGCAAGGAGAGGGATCACACTGCCAACAGCCCATCAGCCAGCCCTCCCCTCCTCCCCCCCAGAACTGCCCTGCTTTTGGTCAGCCTGCCTCACAACTTACCCCAGTGTGACCATTTCCAACCCAATTCTCCCTCCAGGTGACAGGCCAAGGGTGCGTCTTTCACCTCAGAGGAGCAGATGGCTTTGCTTGGACAGCAGATGATAAAACATGCTTTTAGAGACTCATAAAGTAATCATGTTGTCATGAAAATTAACCTCTGACACTGTTGAAGCGCTGGCCAAAGCTGCTCATCCCTGCAGAACCAACCACAAAAACCTGTAACATCACAATCCAGCTCATTTCTTTCCATCTCCCGTAATTTCTATTTCTCAGAAGCAGAGAAACATGTAGAGTTTTGTCTTTGGAAACAAAACCTTAGAAGGACCCAGTGACACCAGCCCAAACTGAGACCCTAGAAGAGAACTGCCAGCTCATGAGAAACAGATTGTGATACCCATGGTAAAACTGGGAAAGAAATTCACACATCTTTCCCTTCCCCCAGGAGCTGATTTTTCCATTCCTTTCAAGTGTTTCAAGATTTGGGCCTTAGGAAATACATGTTTAAGAGGTGTTTAAAAACTATTTGCCATCCACCACCTGTAATTATGCCCATGGCACATCCTGCAGTTGTGTGACATTTAACCCAGGCTGGAGGGGGGAGCTGGAAGCTGCTGATTCCAAGGATAACTGTGGGAATAAATAACACCAGGGGCTTATGCTTGTGTTAGTACTGACAGCAGAATCCACAGAGCTTTGCAGGGCTGCTCTTCTAGAAACAAGACTGTAAAATTTCAGATACTCCCATCAAAAGAAAAAACTCTTCTCTGTGGGTGGAACATCAGTGTCTTTTCTACACCCAACTCGCTTCCAAGGCTGTCAACGACAAACACAGCTTAAAATGCAGATTTTAAGATAGGGGGGTTTAGCCATGGGACAGGGAACCAAGCTGGCACTTCCACAATTAAGAAAAAACACTCTCCAAAAACACAGGAACTGAACAGAGTCATCCTGACTCCCCCCCAATCAAGAGGTAACAGCTGCAAAAAAAGACAGTTATAAGGTTATTTTAGGGGAGTTTCAGTGGGCAGGGGGTGGATTAGAGCCTTCCAAGAGCAGCCACCTGCTCTCAGCTGCTGTGAGGAGGCAGCAGGAACTGGCAGCAGGTTCCCTCCCACAGGCAGGGAAAAGGGCTCCAGGAGACCCAGGAGTTAATTGTGCCTCATGAAAAAGGCCAGAATCCTTAGAAGCAGCATTTACTGGGAGGAAAAAATAACAAAGATGTGTCATCCCTGGCTCCAGAAACCTCGAGGAATTCCAGGGAGACATCTGTGCTGAGGAGGTCACCCTAATCCCAGTGTGAGCAGCTGTTTCCCCTCCAGACCATCCCGTGGAGATTCCCTGAGTCACATCAACATATCTGCCACTGATCCACAGTGACACCGAGCTGGATTCATTGTTCACCAGCCCTTCAGGAAACACCAGAAACAGGAGTGTGTGCACTGAGACATCCATGCATGGAGACAGATCCGGGCCTTGGCACAGACTGACTGCTCTTCCAGTCCCATCCTCCTCTCCACATCTCCAAGCACAAGTCTGGTGGCTTGTTATGCCCTAAAGAGAATGAGCAACCAGTAATTTCCCACTGGGAAAATCCCATTAAAAATAACTATTAAAAAAAAAAAATCATCAGTCCTTCCAGGCTGTTTTAATACTCGGGTCAATGGGTAACTGGGATTTGAATTCAAGGTTGGTGTTGGACTTTATGATCTTAAAGGTCTTCTCAAACCTTAACAAGTCTGTGATTATAAGATACGATGTGCTGAAGATATTCCTCCAGCAGACACCAGCAGGAAAAAGCAGCATCACCACTGGGATATGGGAACAACCGTATGAGGAGCTGTATTGCCCTGCCCTGTTCCCTTTGTAGGTAGAGAAGTCACAACTAGAAATTCATTGTTCTCAGTTGGTATTTTCCCCTTCCTCCCCTTTTTCCTTTGAGGGAAAAAAAAAAAAAATCTTTCCTTAGGCTGAATTCCAAGTAGGGAAAGAAGTTCTTGGTAAAACCTCCTCCCTCCACACATTTGAGAAGGAACACCAGGAGTTCAGCTGAGCTCAGCACACTTTCACTTCACTTTCTCACATGACTGAGGACAGCTACTTTTATTAAAAACAATCTTGAGAGCAAAATGCAAGTTATAGGAAAAGAAAAAAAATGCAGCTGCACAAACCCCCGGAAGCAGCAACTGCAGACACTGCTGAGCTCCAGCACAGGAGCCACAGGAACTGCACTGACACCTCACGATGTTCTTCAGGCACCACTGGGAAAAAGCCAATGAAATGAAGATCTGCAGTTTTCAGCCATCCTGTTTTTTACCAGTGTGTGGCTCAGCTTTGCAGTTTGCAATCAATGCAACCAAAGAGCAGCCCCGCAAGGGAGAAACTGCTGACCCCAAACTTACTCTCTTCAAGAACATTGTTTAAATACCCAACTTTGAATAAACTGATCCTCAGACATGGACCTGCTCCTGAGTTTAGTCTCAGGCAGGTACCTGTAAGGGATGACCAAGTTCATGTAAGACTGACGAGCATTTATCAGGGACGTGCGACTTTCAGCTGTGCAAACCACAATCAGCCCAAGCCCATCTCTCCAAGCAGCTCAAACACCAAAACACAGATAATACCGAGTTCCACCAAGCACTTTCTCCCTCCTCCTGTTCACTTTTTCCCCCATAAATTAAATGTCAAATCACTTTAATGCAGTGTTAGAGAAACATTAGTTTAAATGTATAAAGGGTCAATTATATATAAAGACAAAGAAGCTACAAAAATTGCTGACCCTCAGGAGACAGTGCTCTGTGCAGAGCAACGTTCTTGTGTCCAGGTGAAAAGGCTGCTGGAGACAACCGGTTTCTTCATTTCCCTATAACACATGGGAAACACTGGACGACTCCTTGACATTCACAGCTGTGACAGGAAACTTCATCCAGAATCAACTAAACCGGACTCAACCCTCAAAGAAACCATTGGATGTCCTTGGCTTCAGCTGGACTGGCAGGCCTAGACCCCACAGCATTTTTGTAGGTTCACTGGAAAGCAAAAGTGACTCCCTGCAGCCAAAGAGACCAAGAGGCACCATGGATCTCATCCCATGTCCTCAGAGAGCTGTGGACACTCCGCATCCTCCTTCTGATGGTCAAACACCGATCAGCGGAGACAGCCCAAACCCAGGAGTCACATCTTCCCAGTGGGCACCAGGACAGCTCAGTGCCCGTGTTTCCCATGCCATAATGTTTATATGCAGGATATGGACGATCTCCCATAAAGCATCTCGTTCGGAACAGCTACGGAATTGCCACGACCGCAGTTCCCTGGCCCGTCGGTCCCACCCCGGACACGGCAAACGGACGGTGGAAAACGTGGCTGTGACGAACCAGGCTGGCCTCTGCCTTGCTCCCTTCACGAGGAAATGAGGGATCTCTCTTCCACGATGGGTGTAGAGGGTGTTCCAGAGCTGCTCTCCTCCCATAAGTGATCCAGAGCTTTTTTTGTGGGAGGCACAACCATTCCCTAGCACTGCATGGCAGGCAGGAAAGCTTCTGGTGACCCCAAGGCAGGTACAGACACTGATGAGAAACAACATTTTAAAAGAAGCAGGCTGGTATAGCATGAAATTATATCCACCACCATTAAAGCCTAATTACAAATATATTCTGTTAATCTCAGTAAGACACCGACACATGAACTCTTTCAGCTACTCTTGTCTTCGAAGGTATTAAATTCATGACAGGGAAAGGGGGGGAAACCCCAAATGTTTTTTAAAAGTTTATTTCTAGCCCTGAAAGAACAGTTATTAAACAAAGTCAACAAATACAGTAGTTAATATTGCAGTAACAATTAAATAACATAATGGGATTAAATTACACAAAAGGCAACATTAACATCTGAAGACAGTTAAAAAAATAAAAAGAAAGCTTGCACCTACTTCCATTTCCATCGACAGCATAAGGAACAGAGGGAAAAACAGACCAGAGAGATAATTATTGACTCAATGCCAGCTGGAGAGACCCTTAATCGCTTCCTTGTCCCTCCCCAGCCCCTCTGACAACAGGACCCATCTGCTTTAGCCAAACCTTCACACCTCCCTGCACGGAGAGCCAGGGCGAGGGGGAAGCTCCAATTAGTCTCACTGGGGCAAAGTGCACATTCCCATGGTTGTTTTTAAAGAGAAATCTGGTTTATTCTGCGATCACAAGAAAGTCCCAGGAGTCTCACATGCCCTGCACACTGCATCTCAGCCACAAGCTGCCCCACTAACCACACGTGACACTTGGGACGGATCACGTGCACGTTTGATCCTGACTCAGGATCTCATGCCGGCACCCAGGAGAGAGGCACGGCCCACACTGGGATGCAATCCGTCCCTTCCCATCATCTCAAGCTCTGGCTGGTCTCCACCTGCCCCAGTGACACAGAAGAGCTGCCCAGCCCTGCACCAAGTCTAAAGAACTCCGACCTGCTCCCACCAGGGGAATAACCAGGGCTTGCAGTTTTAACCTGGCACACACCCCCAGGTGACACCGTTGGACAAGCGACGCCCGACCCAGCAAAGACACTAAAGCACAGCACAAAAACCTTCTCCTGGCTCTCCTCTCCTGCCAGCTCCTCCTCTGGTCCCCAAGAGAAACCTCACCACGTATAAGCCGCTGCGTGGGAGATGCTGACACTTCTCAGCCTCAGAGCTAAACACCTTCCCAGGTCACACACATGATTTGGGAATTTTGGGATTGGGCCAAAGTGGCTGAAACTTCAGAAATCATCTCCAAAATGCACTAAATTGAACAAATTTTGTAACATATGTTTCAAACCATTCTCATTCATCAATAAAAGTGAACTAATAAGTTAAAATTACTTATGATTTCTTGTTCTCTATTAAAAAAAAAAAAGCTAAATTTATCTAGATTGTGCCATAAAAAAAAAAAAAAAAAAAAAAAAGAGGAAGAGGAAAGAAAGAAAAGCTCCCAGTTTAACTCTGGCACAAGGAGTTTCACCCAGTCCATTGCCAGCAATGGACAAAGAGGGAACCATTGGTACAACATGTTTTTTCCTCAGCCAAGCCTCCTCGCTGCTCCATTTGACCAGGGAGCCAGACACACTCAACCCAGGGGGATTACAGTGTCCCTGGCTCCTATTTTTTTTCCCTGGGAAATGCATCTGGATTTCCTTGGCTGGAATGAGACACTTCCTTGAATTTCAAGCCGTATTCTTCAACTTACAGCTCGAGGGATTTATCCCTGTGACGGAACAGTTAAGATAATTCACCCAACACAGATTTTTAACTACCACACAGGAGCAGAACACAAGCTGAACCTGCCCAGCAAAGCACTCTGCTGGCACCACACAATGCCCAGGAGCTCCTGAGTCCCAGCAGATGCTGTGAGACTCCAGCCCTGCTCCCCTCCATCATCACCCAAACGACTCCCACTGTCCTGGCTGGCTGCTCTCAGCTGGAAGTTGGTTTTGTCATACCTTGGCTACCAGTCCTCAAAATGTCATTATCTCTAAACAGACACTGATATCCTCTGAATATGACTTCTATCCCTTGCCAGCAATGTTTGGAAAAGTGTGCAAAAATTTTTATTCGGGGTCCTCTGTCCATACCCAACCATAACTCTGTCTGTCCCAGGCCCTGCCCCACCAGGAATGCAATAAAATCCTACTAAAGGCATGGTTGTTCTTTCACAGACTCATTTGGCACATTGTTACTACTGTTGGCTCTTCCTCAAACACTTGGGGAGGTTGAAATGCATAGACTGTAGCACTAGAAGGAGCCAAGGGCACGGGCTCTGCTACACTCGCCCCTGGCAGCACCCCAAGAACTCAACCGCTCTGGTTCTCACTGTCCTTCAAAAGGAGGCACTTTTTCTTGCATTGAAGGGTTCACTGCAGCCATCCTGGCTGGCACAACGTCTCTAGTGAGAAGGATCAATGTGACACTCAGTCCCCTCAGCCTCGAACCTGCCAGTCAAACATGAACATCTGACAGCACTGTCCTCCCCTCAGCTTCCACCTCAGAACAGCGCTTTGGCATCTCCAGGTGTTCATCATCTTCTGTTTGGATCATCTTTCGAAAAATTCCGTATCTTCAGTGTCCTCAGATCTGGTTATTTGTTCTTCTGGTTTCATTAGTACAAATGGAGCACATACAAAACTGGAAAAAATAGCTCTAATACTTAAACTCTGACAACTCCATAGGTTGATGCATTATTTGCTTGGGGGAAAAAAAATTACAACATATACAAAAATGTATTTGATACAAAGAAGGGAAATGTAAAATAAAAAAGTCAAAGGCACCAGCATAACTTCCAAAGCCCAAGTCAGAGCACAGATACATGTTTTTGAACCACCCACCGCACTAAGCACGTTAACCCTTAAGCTTCTGGCCAGCAAGTCTAACAGGGGAAAAAAACAGCACACAAGGAAGACAGCTGGAATTTTTTCTTGCCCTGACTAGAACTGATCATTTGATCATAAATAAAGTATCTGACCCCAACCTACATATCCATAACCCACATCAAAAGACTCGACCGATCATTACGGTTCTACAAAGAGCCCACGTTTTTGATTAAAAAAAGTCCACAGAGCACAAGCATAAGAAACAGCTGAATACTTCTCTTCCCCCCCTCTCCTTATTCATCTTAAAAAGTGAAAAACATCTCCATGCATTACAACTCCCTAAGTAGCAAGTTGTCAATTTTACAGCACAGCAACAGCTCTTCTGTAAATGAGGGGCAAGATGTACCTTCACATTCGCCTCACCTGCCGTGAATCTCGCCATGGGGGAGCTTTACCACAGGGATTTAAAAGCCAACAGGTAGAGGGGAGGAAGAGGAGAGTCAAAGAGATCAGCAGGTAAAATTAGTACTGCTCTCTGAAAGCTTGAACCTGTCATTCAAGTATTGAAAGTACCCAGAGGGTACAATGAACAGGAGCTGTTACAGCGAAGTCGTTAAAAACCCTTAAAGCCCCGGGCACAGTAAGTGGCATTTCCGGGCTGTCTGGGGGAAAAAAAAAAAAAAAATCAGAATAACACACAACTAAAGGCCAGTCATTCAGTCCTCAATTCCTTCTGGACCCCAGACAGGGATCGGTAGAGTCGCCACAACGTATTTTTTGGGTGTCTTCTGGATGAGAGTTTCTTCCCTTTTGCAGATGTTTCCCACCCGCCCCCGCCCACCCACTAAAATCCCTTCCCTCCCCACCGAAGTGTAACAATTTCATATATTATAAAGATTTGTAAAATACAAACAAACAAAAAAGGAGGAAGGCTGTGGCAGGGTGTTAGCGGTTACTCTTCATTGCTTCTTTGGCTGCCAGGATCAGTGGCGTCAAGCTGGACAGAGGTTTGGCCAGTTTCAAGAAGGGATGCTGCCAGGAAGAGAGAAACACTGGAAATCAGGGAAAGACACGGTTTAAAAGGCCAGCCAAGGGTTACTTTTCATTGGGATTCATGTTTGTGTGAAGCTGGGCAGGGATGATATTTCATTTTAACTGCTGACTTTTCCATGCATTTCCCCTGACGTTTACAGGGAAAAGGGTTTCTCCCGGAATAGCTGACCACTTCTGGAAAAGGTGAGTATTGAAGCTGCACTCATAAGGAGCAAAACAGCAAAGCTCTGAGCAAGGAATAACCAGAGAAAGATAAGGAGCAGCAGCTGGCTTTACTAGGAAAGCCTCCACATCATCTGGCTTCCAGGCTCAGAGCTACTCCTTGTTCTCTCCAGGAATGGCCATCAGTGATTCCATCACTCCTTCACGGAGTGCTGCCTGCTAGAAGATCTCATTTTACAAGCCAGCTTTTCTCCAGGAGGTATTTAAAATCAGAAAGTATTTAAAATCCAAGCTAAAAGGAGAAATGGTGGCACAATGGCAGGTACACTGAGCTCCAGCTGCTCAGCTGGTAGGGCAGAACCCCGGGAAAAGCAGCAGCTTTTCTTTTCAGGGCTTGAACACCGACTTCAGACTAGCAGATAAATAGTTCTTTTAAATAGCTCCGAGGAGGACATTTGCAAGTGAGGACACAAAAAGCAATGCAAATGCTATCAGTGGCCAGCTCCTGAAGGGAGCTCAAAAATTGCTGGGTGCTTTGGCAGTGGCAGAGTGAAGGCACAGACTGTGATGGAACTACTCCAGAGTGCACTACAAATCTCTGATGACTGTTGTTCCTACCATCTGCTCTCACTACAGTTCTCAGAGGAAAACACACACACAAAAAGGGTGCCAGTCTGCCAAGTGGTTTGTCACAGGCTGACATTACTCATGGCTTCTGCACTTCACACTGTGAGGAGAAGCTGAGTCTCACCTGTAGCAATTCTTTGGCTGATCCTCTTTTCTCTACATCCATCTCCAAACATCGGTTCAAGAAATCCCGGAATATTGGAGACAGTTTCTCGGGGTTCTGGAGTTCTGGTGTGCCATTAGTTGCTATCAAATATAAAGCCTGTAAAATTAAGAATAATGTGTAACCAACATAAATCCTCAAAAGATGCCAAAATGTCCTGTCTAGTGGCAAGCCCTTAGTTCAGAAAGGGCTCTGCTGCCTAATTCTCAAACTTATGAGATTTAACCTGTAAAAATACAACAATTACAGGCAGTCATGATTTATTCTTGCTAGTAGCAAAAAAATATTCAAAATCTTTCGGCAACAGATACTTATTTTAGCAAAGAAAATATCAGATTGTGACAGCGCAACATTTTTCAGAACCTGATGGATTTAATTTCCCTAAACTAGCACAGAATCTTGAGGTCAAAATCTACTATTTAGAGGATTTACCTGCCTGAAACTGAAACACTGTATTTTGACCTCAAGATTCTGTGATAGTTTAGGGAATGGGTTTGGGCTGGAAGGACCTTCAAGGCCATCTGGTTCCACCCTCATGCCATGGGCAGGGACATCTTCCACTAGACCAGGCTGGTCTAAGCCCCATCCAACCTGGCCTTGGACACTTCCAGGGATGGGGAGTCAAGGTAGGGATGACTACAAATTTAAGACAAGTGTCTTCCCTTGGAGAACTTTACTTGTACTGCTGAAGCTTCCTGGCTTTTTCAATTCTTTTACTGTAGACATAATTAATGACCAATCACTGAAAATGTTCGATACGGTGAACACCCACAAGCAGTTCCAACCCCGGCACTTCTTACCCTCAGGGGATTTTCATTGAGGTACGGGGGTTCTCCTTCCACCATCTCAATAGCCATGATGCCCAGAGACCAGATATCCACTTTGGGGCCGTATGCTTTCCGTGTGACCACCTCTGGAGCCATCCAGTACGGGGTGCCCACCATGGTGCTGCGCTTGCTCTGCTCAGGGGTGATCTGAGCACAGAAACCAAAGTCGGCTGCAGGACAACAGGAGGATGAAGAGGTTAAACTGGTGCACCCCCAGAAGTGGGTTTCCTAGAAGACTTCTCTATTGCTACACAAATATTTCACTGAGATGGGTTTGGGGGGGTTCCTTCTTGCCCCCCCCCCCCCCCCCACTACATTCTCCATATTAAATAAGCCAACGTGCAAGATAAGATACAAAACCTGAAGGTGTTTAAGCAGGGCAGAATTCCGTGGACTGAAGACAAGCATTTTTGTCCTCCGGAAAGAAGAATTACTCTGCAGAAGAATGGTATTTTGCCCAGTCCTTCCTTCAATAATTCTAGACTGGCAGCAGCCAAAATAAGCAATCAAGCAGAACGCAGGAGGCGAGTGTTCTGCACTTGGTGTGTTACACAGCCTGAACCAGAAGAAATGAATCCACAATCCATGGCTTCTGCCCTTCTAAACAGATTGTACTTGTGCAGCTACTGAGTTGAACATTTCACAGCGATTTGGCCATCTAGACAGGTACTACAGCTGACAGGGACACGGAAACAAGGCTTCAGGTAAGTGCAGTGCTACCCCACTCAGCAGGAGGAACCTGGACAAACAAACCTTTCCACAAGGTAACTACCAAAGAGAACAACCACACTCAAGAAAACAAGAAAAGTCACCTATTCCTACAGCCTTCAGGTGCAGCAGCAATGCACGTTCCATCATGTTACTCTATCCAGCTGCAGCACTCCCACTTCCCAGGCATGTAAAGCATCAATAAGAACACAGTTAAGGCAGGAGACAGATATTACCTTATCATTGACACTAAGTTAGAGAAAGAGAGAGAGAAAGAGAAGGAGAGGGAGGGAGAGAAAGAGAGAAGTTTAAATTTTGAAAGTGTTATGCCAAGCAGTGCTAACAAAAGAGCCACAGTCATGGAAGTGCCAGGTTGTACCAAGAAGACAATTTAACAAAGTACTATCCCCACCCTGATAGCCAAAATGCTGCCTTAAAAAAAAAGCCCCAAACAAACCAAAACCAACCAACCAAAAAAAAAACAAAACCCCAAACCAAAACCCAACAAACCTACGAACAAAAACCCCTCTCAAAACTACAGGAGCCACCAAGTTTCTCCTGCAGTTTTTGGCCTTATCAAGGTGTCACACTCGACTCACAGCATGGCCCATTTCAGTGGCCACCCCAGAGAAGCAGCAGCAGTCTGTGTCTCCTGACCTCCCAGCAAGGCCTTCAGCACCACACCACCAGCACAGAGAGAAAAGACAGGCAGGAACCCAGTTTCCCCAGGCAGCTGTGTGTAGCTTTGTGCAGCTGTGCAGTGGTGACACTTATCACCAGAATCTCCCAGAGAAGGGGAAGAGCTTAAAAAGAATGTGCAACTTCTTCCACCCTTCAACCCTTAACTACTGCTAGAAGCTCTACAGTCACACAGCCTCAGGAGAGCTTGTCTCAGCACTGACCACACCACCTCCCCTTCACACAAGGCATTTTTACAGTTGACTCCTGTGTCTCCTCCCTCCTCATCCTCCCCCAGTTTCCTGGGGTGATGCTTCTTGATTCAGGCTGCCAACCCTGCCCTTTGGCCACTCTGCGTTGCTTTGACACCTCTTTTTTGCAATTTTGATCTTTCTCAGGCTACCTTTTCTCAGCCACATCCTCTGCAGTAACCGTTCACTTCTCTTCAGCCTCTTAAATCCACAGTTTGTGCACAAACACATCAGACCCTTAAAACAAATAACCCCCTCTATGCAAGCAAGCAGTGCATCCAAAGATGCTGGTAAGCAAATCAGGTTGCTCATAATCTTTCTTCACACTCCATCTCATAAATGAAATAAGATTGAAAACCATCTAGAATAAGGAATATTGTTAAGACATTTTCATGGCACTTCAAATTCCTACACAACCACAAAATCACTTTCTACTTTACAACTTTTTTTAGCTTAATTCTTCAGTTGCTATATGTTTTATACATTCCCACATACCAAAAATTCAAATAGTGCACCTCTTTCTCAGCAGTCCTGACAGTTACAAGTGGTTTCACGTCACTTTTATTTACATACACCATGTACACACAAGTCCATGCATGCACAACAATTACCTGAAAAGCAAGTAGTTTCTTTTGTCATGATTATATTAATGAAAGTGTGTTACACTTCCAGCCCAAGAAAAGGCACAGGGTAAGACTAGACTGTGATATAAGTGATCAATAATGTACAATTTTCTTGGTGGTGGCCCTCAAATGAATGGGGCAAAGCACTAAAATCAATTCATAACATCCTAACAAAGCTACTGCAGTTTGCTGCAACTTTTCTCTTGTAATCATTCCCGTTTTGCTTCACTCTACGGTACCAGTTACTTCCTATTTACCAACGTATTCACGTGGCCACAAGTTTGCTCCAACATCCTTCCGGGCTCTCACGTTCACAGCCCGAGTCTGAGGGCCCTCAGAATTTCAGCACCTGCTGCCTGTTACACATTTTGCAGCACAGAATGAATTTCTATTCCTCACAGTCAATAAAAATCCACCTCAACTTTCCCTGCCAACTCTCCTTCTACACGCGGAGTCAGAGATCACTGGAAAAGAAGAACCAGAGCATTAAAACAGTTGTCAGCTACTCACTTAGTTTAACTGATCCATCCATTCCCAAGAGCACGTTGTCACTCTTAATGTCTCTGTGGATGACCTGGTTGGCATGGAGGAACTCAAGTGCTTGCAAGCACTGGACAGGAGAGAAAAAAACCCAACATTCAGCACATGGAAACACGCCCGGTGTATGTGAACGCGAATTCAAGGCAACGTTTACACCCTCAGCCAGCTCTGAGTGCAAAAATAGAACAGGTATTATTGAAAATAACCAGCAGAGGAAGCTCTTGGGCTAAAAAATACTCTCCAGATTTCAGGAGGACAAAGATCATTTATAACCACGGAGTTTCTCTATCTTAACAAATGCAAATATGAAACTCCTCACCACCCAAGATGCTCCCAGAAATCCCAGATGGTAATTCTGGTACATCCCACAGATTCTACAGAGGAACCACAAAGTATTAAGTGAGAGCTTTTTAAGGCTGAGGTCTCACCAAGAGGGATTGGTGAGGATTCATTCCCAACATCCACACAACTTCTACAGTGAAATCTGTAAAACATCTTCATTCTGAAAGTCACTAATACTGGTTTTGCATTGTTTTCAGATTAAAACCTTTCCCCACTAAGTTTCTGCCCAAAACCATAATGAAATTTACTTTTGTTATTTGAGAAAAAAAGGCAAAAGCCAGATTTTTCTCTTTCAATACAAGCAGAACATTTGCCATTTGCTGCTTGGCACGGATGTCCCCAGTGAGTTTTGGGTATCTTTGTTTGCTTTAGCAAAGTGACACTGATTTGCAAAATGAAACGTATCTAACATAGCGGGCAGCAGGTTTTGATGAAGTGCAATAGTTCAACATTTGACTTCTTCCTCAGAAAAGCTCACTCCTGTTACAAGGAAGAGTTACTTTGGGTTCTCTGCTTCCAGCTCTGGTTCCTCAAGAAACCATTACCTGCCCATGCACGTTCCTGCACAGGTTTGCTCTCCTTCCCCTCCCTTTGGGCGAGGCACAAAAGCAGACGTCATGCTGATGGAGTAAGACGTGCTTTTTAAAAGCCTCAGTCTCTCCTGCACAGCAGATAACACAATTCTCCTTCTGCTGCAATAAATCAGGATGCTGGCACTGACTCAGGGCAGCAACCGCTGATAAGTTGTGAAATCAGCTGCTTTTAACTCTTTCCTTTGAAATCTTACGGTCACCTTAAAATTATTCCAGCTACAATCTTCTGGAGAATTATTTTCCCGAGAAATCCCTCAAGAAAGCTTAACTGGCACAGAACTACAGATTTCACACTCTATGAGAATGACTAAGAGGGAAAATAGATGGTCTGCATCCAGTTCATCTTTGTTTTAGTACATGTTTCTTAAAGTACTCCTGTTTCAGCAGATCCACTTTCACACTGTGAGCAAACACAGTTCCCATTCTTCCTTCTGGAAAACACTTGGAAGCTTTCAGGCTTTTTCTTTCTCCTTGCTACATTACCCATATATGAATACTCAGACTTTTTTTTTTTTTTTGTGCCTTTGAATGTCCTTTGTTAGTCAAAGTTTAAAAAGCCATTCCTTGCAGCTGCTAAACTTCTCCACTGCTCCTCCCTGAACTTCAGTCCACATTAATCACATCTTTCTGTTAACACTGTCAGCAGGATGAGGCAACCCAAGTACCAAACCCAAAGACTTTCTTTGCTCCATTCCCTAAGTTTCCCAAACACTCAGATCAAAAAAACCTGCCACAGCTCTTTTGTGTTATAACCTGCAATCCCTTCAATTTTCTCAGTTAACCTAATTTTGTTATTTTCCTGTAACTTTATATTGATTTCTGCTCACGGTATCATTCATTCTTAACTCAATGGCTCCAACAGCATTTGTTGCAGTTAGTCCTAACCTAAGCACTCCATAAAAGCCATGGGAATAGAGTGCACCTGCATTCCTCTACCCAGCAAGTCCAACACTCACCTCTCTGCAGACAGCAGCGATCTGTGCCTCATCCATACACGTCTCTGTGACCACATCTGTTAGGGAGCCCCCAGCCAGATACTCCATCACGACAAACAACTCATCTCCTACGAGGTAACTACAAAGACAAAACCAACAGCATGTCCGTGTGCCATCAAGGTGACCAAGCCTAAACACAGACTCATTTGCTTCCAAGACCCTCAGGTACAGGAAGTCCAAGTCTGTATAGGCTCTTGAAACCTCTTGAAACCCTCAGGAGTGAAGGAATCACCATCTGGATGCATTTACCTGTCCAGGAAGTTGACTATGTTGGGGTTCTTTAGCTCCTTCATTACCAAGATCTCGTTAATAATCAGCTCCTTCTTGGGCTGTTTCTGCAGGTTGATCTGTTTAATAGCCACCTGAATGGGGCAAAATAAAACAGCAATCACTGAAACCATCAGAAGATGAAACCATCATTCTTAATACAATGAAAAGTCAAAAGGAATTCTGTAACAGGATTAAAGTTGTTCAGCTCAGCTTGTGGCTGGCAAGCTATTTATTCATTAGCACACAACTTAAAAGAATGCAGCCTGATGAGCACACAACTCACAGCAGTGGCCAACATCATCCTCTTGCAGCTGAAAGGATCCACAAACAGTAACTGAGGCCAGAACAGACAGAGAAGGGAGCACGCAAGAGATAAAAAGACTCGCCCAATTTCATAGCAACAGGCCTGAAGCAGCAGAGAATCCTGCAGCAACTCAAAGAGAACATCTGAGCCTTCCAGTGCAAGGTGAGGCAACTAGTTGTTCTATATTCTGACCACACTGGTGTTTGGGTATAAGGAATGCTGGGAGGCAGAAGGAATTCCTCTCAAAGCAATGAAATCAATGAACTATCCCAGAGAGAAAAGGGGAGACAAAGACCTATCTTGCCCAGGAAATAAACTAGCCAGGACAAGTGTTCCAGAGGTTAAAATGGAGAAGAACTGTCCCAGCTCTGTCAGCTGCACTTTGTGGAGGCAGTTTGGAGGTCTACAAGACAACCTACCCACCAGACCAAAACCAAACACAAGAACCAATATAATCTTGTCAAAATTATCATTATTATATTTAAAGAAAGAGATTCTTGCCATTCTGTGACACAGAATGACAGAATAAGTAAGAGTGGAGGCGGAGCAGGTTGCTGAGGGTCTTGTGTGAGTTTGGAATGGAGACCTGAAGGAGCAGATATCCCAGAACCCCTCTGGGCTCTCAAACTCACTCTGCAGTCAGTAAGAGGACATGAAGTACTGCAGTAAGTAGAGAGCAAATTAAGAGATGATAGAAAGGCTCATGTTTTATCAAGATGTGGTACTCCACTGCAAGACTGGTAAATGTGATTACTGCTGAAAGGGCAATTACTTACCAGTGACCTAAGGCATGGTATTTAAATACTTATTTAAAGGAAAGTAAGGAAAGAATTTAAATAGAAACACTGAAAGAAAACTAAGGAAATCTAAAGTTAAATAGAAGCAACTAATTCCTAAAATTCAAGTCACAGAAACGAGAGATGGCCACTTGATGACAAACATGCAGAGTGTTGCTGATGTCACCAATTTCACCAAGTGGATCTGGAGAAACCAGGGGGTAAAAGCAAAGAGTAAGATGTGGAGAAGACATTCTAACTACAGCAGGGAATCGTGGGGAACAAGCTGATTCCACAGAGATAGACACAACCATCACCTTTACTGAGTCAGGACTAGAGAACAAGCGTGCAAAGACTAAACAAAGTTTTATTTCTGAAAACACAAGACACCAAGGCCTGCAATTCCTGAAGGATAAACTGTTTTCCAAACTCATTTCTGGAATACCTCACTCCTCTGCTTTTCACTGGAAAGACAAAACTCTATTTTTAAGCTTTCACCATCTGATTACTATAGAACAAGGCACACACTGTTACAATTGACTATGACAAACATTCTTCTGAGAGCTGATAGCAGAGATGGGAGCCACTGAAGGAAATTAGTCATGGCCACCTAGAGAAGATTATTTCTAGAGAAAATGAACACAGGAATCTTACCTCCTGCCCTGTTGCCACATCAATAGCTGTGAAAACTGTACCTGAAGCCCTGTGAAGAAAAAGAAAAACGTTACAGCAAATTGTATCTCTTTGTAACAAACACACGAGTGAACAGCCAAATCACAAACACTAAATTGTTTCAGCTTTCAATTCAAAATTTCCACCACTGTGCAAAGTCTTCACTGTTCATTCACTTCACACTTTGTCGCCCAGAGAAGCTGTGGCTGCCCCATCCCTGGAACTGTCCAAGGCCAGGCTTGGAGCAACCTGGGATAGTGGAAGGTGTCCCTGCCCACGGCAGGAAGGTGGAATGAGGGGAGGTTTAAGTTCCTTTTCAACCCAAACTATTCTGGGATTCTGTGATTCACCACTGCTGAATGCAGCCAACATTTCTGCCTGCACAGAAGGAGGTGAGTACACGACAGTATGAGACAGAGAACAGCACAGTGCTGCCAACGCTGGCCCACTGGGAATAAAAGTTGGGGGGAACACTTACCCCTGCCCGATTTTTTCATATCTGGTATACTTTTTCTTGGGGTCTCCTATGCTTACAATAGTGCCTAAAAGAAAAAAAAAAAAGAAAAAAGAAGAGTCAATCCAATCCCACTGTCCCACTTCAGCAGGGCTGGCCAGGCCAAGATATGTCCAAGTTCAAGGAGCAAATCTGATGCACAAACAGCCAAAGCTGCACATGGACATTAATAAGGTGAAAATTATCTTCAAGGTGGTCATGGAATAAGCCACAGCAAAAACTACTTTGTGCTATTATGGCTGTAACCTACATGCAGATCACATTATCACAACCGAACTTTGATCAAAAAAACCAAAAAATCCTATTTTTCTACCCAATAGGGCTCTGAAGATTATAAATCAGCATAACCTCTGAATACATTTTTCTCAGCTACAGACACAAAGTTAGGTGAGCACAGGATCCACATAACTCTTACACAAAAAGAAGGACGAGGGCAAAAGTTTAATATTCCTCTCCCAGACCTGAAGCCTTTGCTTATCTGAAATAAAACCACCTACGTAGTTTTTCCATGATGTCTTCATCTGACATTTTGGTCTTCTTTTTCTGCTTATCCCCTGATTTCGTGGCGCTGTCAGCACAAGAGTCACCGGCTGGGGCAGGGATGGGGTCGATTACAGAGCGGGTATAAATCTGTGGAGGAGACCATCAAGGACCTGAGCATCGGCTTTGCAACCACTGACCTTCAGCTGAAAACAATCATAGCTCTGAAAAGATCCCTAGGCACCATTTTGTAACAGGTAGGAGGCAGAAATTAGACCAGAGAAACACTGAAGTCCCCTGGCAACAGTACTGACCTCTGAAAGGCACCTCCTGGACTACACTTGTGCCACTGTGCTGGGCCAAGTTACAGAAACCACCTACAGATTTTTAGGACTAAAAAAGCCTCCTCCTCACATATTGGGTTGAAAGATAAGCTTAACTGAATACCTTCAACACAAGCCAACCAAGAGAATCACCAAATCTCAACGACCTCAGAGGTCTTTTTCAACCTAAATGATTCTATGATTCCGCTTCAAGATTTCTGATCCAACAGACATCCAGAAATTAGGTATTCTCTTGGCAAATTCAAAAAACAGAACTCTTCCCTAAAACCTTACAACAGCTCATTCCACAAACAAAACCCTTTTCTAGAGAACAGATGTAGAAGTTCTGCAATGCAAAGAATTCCAGAATTCTGCACTGTCAAGTTTTGCAGCTGCTCACCGATTTTGTGTGATCTGGACGTGGAGCAATAACAGGAGGAGGAGCTTCTTCATCATCCTCCTCATCATCTGCCACAGCTGTTGATGGTTCTGAACCTTTGGCATTGGTCTACATTTTTAACAACATTAAAAAAAATAAATAAACAAATTTGTCTCCCCCACAGTATTAAAGATTTGATTTTTTTTTTCACACTAAGATAAATGAATTCTTACTGATGTCAAAAGAAAATAATGAACCATTCAACCTACCCCTGAGTTATTACATTTTATAATGAGACTCAAATACTCTTTGCTCCAGTGAAATATGCCCCTTATGTTTTTATTCCACCAAAAAAAGATCCTCATTTTTACACTTTTAAACTTGATACAGTTTAAAACTTCGAAATTCAGGATATAACAAATACAGAAGACCTGAATTTGTATGCACCTAAGGATATCCAAATAATAATAAACACACTCACCGTTGGTGTTCCTGAAGGGAAACCATCTTTTTCTAAATAGGACAAATAGCAGAATACATAAAATCATCAGAAAAAAATAATAAAAAGTGAACTCTATAAAGGATGAAAATATCACACAGCCTTATTACTAAGCTACAAATAATTTGGAAGAAAAGTAGGCAAAACTGCACCTGTTTGTAGGACAATCTTTCTCTCAGCCCTCCCAACTGGTTCCCCAATATGTGAGTCACAAATTATTCTGCATCTTTGATGTCACCAGCTGGTGACATCAAGCTCACAGACAGCTGTGAGGAGAAAGGGCTCTAGCATGAAACCAGTTCATCCCAGTCTCCGAGCTCCAGCTTCATAAACAGAGCCCCTTCAAGTTCATTTTGGCTGCTACTGTGAATCATCCAGCTCTTTCTTCCACTCTCCACTTAAAACAGGAAATTAACTGGACAGCCCAGCTTCCAGTAAGTCTTAAATCCACCTTCAAGTATTTGTTCCTCACTGAATCAGCATTTGAAGTTAATTTATTATTCTGAGAGGAAGACTGTGCTCCAAATACCCAACTCCAGTATGTCTTGCACACACTTGGCTCTCACCTGGAGCAGAAAAACTCAGATATTTCTGTTTTGCTGTGTCTTTGGAGTCATAGAATTTCAGCACATCTAGTACCGCCTGGGGGTTTTTCTTCTGTTCTAGCTTGGTGATATTTGAGGTCTGAAGCAACCGAGCCCATTGTTCTGGCATTCCCTGAAAAAAAAAAAGAAAAAAGGGGGGGGGATTTTAAGTATTCTAGTGCTTTAAAGATTTTTAAAGAGCAAAACAAATTTCTTCCCTCTATAAAAACCGTAACATGCACAGCACATGAGCAACGGGGGTTTAATGGGGAGCCACAGGTGACAGCACAGTAGCACCTGGAATATTGAGCCAGATGTGAGGAACAGGGGCACAACAACACCCAGCAGAACCACTGTTACCCACTAACAAAAATAAAGCGAAGGAAGTCTGTCAGGGAGGGCTCTCCCACCTGGCACAAAGCGCCAGATGTGACACTGATGACACTGGAGAAGCACTAACAGGTCATGGCACGGTAACTCCGTGTGCTGTACAAACACGCAGGAAAATTAGTTCTTTGATATAAACAGAGACTAACTTGCACTTTACCCTAAAGCACTGCCTTGGCTTCACTACAGCACTGACCCCAAGTGCCTTCCAAGCCACCCCAGGGCAGGAATACTCACCGTGAACTCTCCAGTAACAGCATCAAAGCCAACGTGGATGGTGTGTTCAAAATCTGATGGTGGGGAGATTTCTGGCCGCTCCTTTTCTTTCTTCTTGCTTCCTGAAAAAGACATTCAAAGATCCAGATGTAAGGAAGAAACTCTTCCTTTTGAGGGTGGGGAGGCCCTGGCACAGGTTGCCCAGAGAAGCTGTGGATGCCCCATCCCTGCAAGTGTCCAAGGCCAGGTTGGACGGGGCTTGGAGCAACCTGGGACAGTGGAAGGTGTCCTTGCCCTTGGCAGGGGGTGGGACTGGATGGTCTTTAAGTCCCTTCCACCCCAAACCATCCTGTGATTCTAAGAATCAACACCTTGTTCCATTCAAATAATTTATATTATGGCAGCAAGCAAATACGCGACTAAGAGCACCAGAGTGCTCTGCTGAGCACAAGAAATCTAAAATTCTTTAATGTTTACAATGCAAAAAGGACATTTTAATATGGATTAAGAAAAGCAGTGAAGATGATTTCAGCTCAACCTCAAGTTCACCCTAAAGACACCTAAAATTCAGTTGCCTCACTGCTTCAATTCAAGTTAATTAATGCAAAGTAGGACTTCCTGCGATGAAGATAAGAGTTTATAGCCTCAGAGCAATTACCTAATTTAAATTAAAAGGGAAAAAAAAAGGCATAATAAGTACCAGGAGCAGGAACAGATAATTAGAAAGACCATGTGCACAATCCAACCCAGATCCAATTACATTTATAAGATGCTTTCTAAAGCCTGGGGCTTTGGTGTTTTTGTTTGTTTGTTAGGGTGATTTGGGGAGAGGGTTGGGGGGGGTTAATTTTTTCTTTAATTTTTCTGCTTTGTTTTTCAAATTCACCTTAAAAGTCCTGTTGTTTCAGTACAGAAAAAGCAGGTAAAGCAGCACCCTCTCCATTACCCCACAGCAAGCAAAGATGGTGCCGCTCAGAGCCGAGAATCCGTCTGAAATCCCCTCGCGCTGGCGGGAAGGGAAGGACAGGCAGTGAGGACAATGCTCCCAAACGAAAAGCCATGTGGGCTGCCTCCAGCTGAACAATGCCGTGGAAAGACACGGCTGTTATAAACAGGATATCTTTAATATGGCTGCACAGGGCAGAGCCAAAAAGCAAACGGGCTGTCAGACGGTCTCATTAACAGCGTTCAGTCATGGGACAGGAGAAACTGCTGCTGTGAAGGCTGAGGAAAGCACCATTTCCTCCCCATTTCTTCCCAATTTCTTGCAGTTGTTTACGTGAAAGCAAGGGTGGGAAAAAAAATGTATTTTAAAAAGTTCTATTCCTTAGGAATGTTCCTGTTTAGGAGCACTTGACATGTAGGGAACAGGAGCTGGTGCTCAACTCCTCCAACATGTGCTATGTAAATAAACCCACTCCTTCCAAAAATACATAGATCCCATGAGTAGGCAAGGCAAGGAGACTAAAAATCATTCCTCTGCCCACAGGAACAGCAGAGCAGAGCAGCACTTCAAACAAACAGCTCCTGCCAGAGGCAAGCCCGGTGAGTCATGTGCTGGCAGGACATCCTCGAGTGCTGAGAACAAGGCCACGGGGAGGCCACGCTGCTTCCCAGCCTCTGGCTGGGTCTGGAACAGCTCTGGATTGCAACAGGAATCCCTTTAGTGAAGGGCAACACTTGTTTCAAACAGCAAGTGAAAGTAGGAAGGGGTGGTCTTTTACTGATATGGGTGAAAGAAATAAGTCTGTAAGCAGAGAGTGAAAAGCTACTATAGGTTGGTGACAGCACCCCAAGAGAGATTCGAGTCCTCTGAGGGTGGTGAATTTGGGTGCTGAGGGTGGCAAAGCTGGGTGCTGTCAGCTCAGGGCAGTGGTACCTGTCTGGAGCAGGTTCTGGCTTAGCCCTTCAATCCTGCAGGAACTGGTGTTTTATATTGTTGGTTGTGGGAGAAATGCCAAGATTTTGCCCCCTGGCCTTGCAGGAAGAGCAGCACAGTCCCCCGGTTCCCAGGAGGGGATGACACACAGGTCCTCTGGAAGGATTTAGCGAGCTGGAGAAATGCTCTGTCTGATTAAGGAGGTGCCTCAAAAATACAACTCAACTCAAACACAACTGGACTCTTACCCAAATGAAGCCACAGGCACTCACAGCAAAGGCACCACCCAGGGCACTTCCCACGGCAAACCCATCCTCGCACATCCTTCGCTTCCCACCAGCCAAATTCCGTACACAAGGCAAGAATCACAGCTGTTTCCCAACAGCTGGTGGTAGCAGGTAGCTGACTCCAGGTGAACACCTGGAGTTACTGAGCCCCAGCTGAAACCACACCAAAATCTGCCCGGAGCCTGCACATGCACAACCCTGGGTGGTGCCCTCGGCACCCCATTGAACACGTTCTGCTCAAACATTTCTTCTTTTAGGAGACTATTTTAAAGCTTTCCAAAAGCACACAGAGGTTCCTTTGACTTCAGAAGTCAAGCCAAGGAAATTCATGGCAACTAAGTAATCGAGTGAGAAGATGACTATCACTTCATTTATCCTAAACAATGGAACCAGGGGGAACAAACCCTCCGTGATGAGGTGCTTAAATAATCCCTTCAAACTCTTATGATTATTTCAGCACAGAACGAGCTCAGACTTGGGGCAGAAACTGTGTAATTGCTACATCTCATCTCCTGCAGAGAGTCCCCCAAAGCACAGCCCCTCCTCAGCTACAGAAACCTCCCAAGAGGGAGGACCTTGCAACATCATATGGACAGAGATTTTCAGACAAAGCCAAACAACGTTCCTGGATAATAGCAAGGGCATCCCTTCATTTTCTCAAAAGGACAATTTACCATTTTTGTAGTGATTTGTTAACTTTTGCACCAGCTGGAGAAATTTTTCCGCGTGGTAAATATCCCAGGCCAACAGATTATTTTGCATCTAGTCCCAGAGTATTTTTTAAATCCAAGCAGGAAGTCAGTATTTCTGTAAGGCTTCCCAGCAGCTGAATTTCAAGGAAAAAAAAGGATTTAACTGGGCATTTCTGGGGAGGGTGCATCCCAGCCATGCTAATGAACAAAACAACTACCATCTGACTATTGTGTTAGTGCCAGAAAGACACTGTGTCCACTTCTGTTCTGCTTACATTTGACAGCCAGTTTTGCAGACTTGAGGGCCAAAATCCTTTCTTTGGATGTTTGTATTAGCCTTGCTGTGGGTCATCCAATAGACAAGTTTCTTCCAAATTAAAAAAAACCAAAAACAACACAAAAACAAACTACACCTTTCAGATAGTTTCTTTCAGTTAGGTAATTCAATTTTCATTTTTCCTAACCACATTATCTTGACTCACAGGAACATTTGCCTTTTTTTTTTTTTTCCAGAATTAATTTTCGACATCTAGAAAACATCAAGAGACATGATTTTTCTTAAAATGCATTTTTCTCAGCAGAAATTACTACTTCCATTTTTAGCTTGCAACACTAAGTATCAGTAGGTAGACACACATTCCAAACAAGTATGCAGATAAATTTCCCTAAATTTGGTACATATCAGTATTTAGAATGGTCTGAATAAACTCAATGGGACTCCAAAGCAATCTCAGATGAGCCAGTACAACTGTAGATAATTCCTCGACCACCTCCCTAGACATTTCAGCAACCAACCAAACCACCATCAAGATGGAAAGAGGAAACATCCATGGAGAAGAAAAGGTGCTGTGGAATGTCACAAAGGTCTCCAGCTGTACTGTACCCACTTGCACTCATAATTCATCTTACTAATTCAGAGCAAGGAAAAGCTTCCTTCACATGGGGTTTATGTTCTACTCCATTATAACCCTGTCTGTAAAAAGGGCTCAAATGCTCTGATGAACCACCAACATGACAAGTGCCATCCCAGCTCCTAACCCATTCCTGCCTGAAGATGGAAAGATCTGACCCCTTCTCCAAGATTTCCTTGCAGCACTCACCGTGACAAATTCCAGGCATTTCCTCCCAACAATTTAACAGTAAAACATCAGTTTCTGCAGGATTGAAGGGCTAAGCCAGAACCTGCTCCAGACAAGTGCTGCTACCCTGAGCTGACAGCACCCAGCTTTGCCACCTTCTGCACCCAAATTCACCACCCTCAGAGGTCTGGAGTCTCTCTTGCTGTTTCCAAAAGCTACACTGGCCAAAAATCCTTCTATCCTCCCAAAAGGAAAACACACCTACTGTTGAGAGCAGAAAGCCAGACTCTGGAATCAGAGGGAAGTCTGCCCCCAGGTTTTATCTCCAGGGTGAGGTATGGCTGCAAAGGGACTGCTCACACAGTTGAGCAAGCCTGAAAACCAGCCCTGGGGAGAACACTCAGCCAAGAGAATAAACAACCAGAGGAACAAAAATCTCTTGAAACAACCAAACCTGTGTTGGCATGACCAAACCAGCCCTGCCCAGCACACCAGCAGCAAGGCACAGGGAGACAAGAGCACAACTACAAGAGCAGCAGGGTCTTCTCCAAGGGGCATATTAACAGTGATCAGGAAAATGTTAACTAGTAGGTTAATAAAATGCATAGCAGATACAGATCAGGCTTAACTCCCTGTGCAGTTTTACCATCCCAGATATAGCATCTATTTCTATCTGTGCACCATTTTGTTGTACATGGATACAGACATCCTGGAGAACCAGGATTAGACTCCAGTGTTGTCACATAGCAAAAGAGGACAGAAAAAAACCACACAAACACAGTCTAGTTTCATTACAGCAAATTTTTCCCAGAAACAATCCCGATTACAGCAACCCAGGTTTTCCCCCATGAATAATCAACCCTAACAGTGCAATTCCACAGGCAAAAGGATGTAGTTTCTCTCAGTTTTCCCTCATGCACAATGCACTTCCACCACTCTTTCTTTACTACCGTTTTGCCTCCTCAAGGTGCCACGTGAATGATCATCAACATGAAGTAACTTCCAAACCAGCTGGGTGCTCAGTTTAAACCAGAAATCTGCATTTAAGTGACATGATCCGCAGGAATGCCAGACATCGATGAGGGTTGTTTGGAAATGTATTTCTTCAAAGTGGTCAGCAAACAGGAGGAGCAACAGGTGGTGGTTTTCCAGTCCCCTATGCTTCGACAGGCTGGACTCAGATGTCTAAAGCACTACCAAAACTTACAAGGAGAGTAAAGAAATACCTTGGGAAAGAGAGGCATCTTACCTTTTTCATTGCTATAGAATATGGAGATGATTTTATGCCTAGGTTTTCTCTCTTCTGGGACAGAGGGCAGGGGTTTCAAGCAGTGGTTGGTGGCCAAAGAATCTTTGCCCCCTAAATTGAAGATGACACTGCTCATCCGGACGGGAGGAGCTGGTGGCTTGTCTTCCAGTTCTCCGTTGTCACACATGGTTCTCAATAGCTAGGGAAAGCCCTGGAAGAGAAGTGTTTGTGTTAACATAGGAAAAGAACACAGGAATGTAGCATTTCTTCTGTTGGCCAAGTGGAAGGAGGCGCGAATTCAACTCTGAGGAACGCAGCAGGCACTGCACTGGCAGGCACTTCCACCAAGGACGCAAATCCCTTCCTCATTCCCACTTCTGGGCCACCCATTCATTTGTGCCAGCAGCAGCATTTGTGGGATGGAGCAACAAATGTTTCCAGTGATAAAACTAACGCAGACTAAATGAACAGTTCCCAGATCTGGTTCTCTGCTCACATAAAGGACAGTACACGTAAAATCCAGAGGGTGCCCTCCACTTCTGAATGGGGCCTTGCATTGCTTCCCCACTTGGTGCCACACTTTCTCCTCTTCTAAAAAAGAGTATGTAGTGTCACCACAATCCTCTTTGAATCCTTAACAAAAACATGAGCGAGAACACGGACAAAAACAGCTGCTAAAGCTAAAACCACAGCACAATAAAACATCTACATGACACATTCCCTATTCAAAAAAATCTGTGCTGGCATTTCCTCCCTCCTCATAATATTTTGGAGATTTTGCTCTGATCACCAGGAAACAGGCAGCCTAGCCTCTCTGATACAGAGTAAATGGCACAAAGAAAGATTTACAGAAATCACCTCTCAGTAACAAGCTGAGTAACAAACAAGCCCCTAATTCCTCCGTTCACTCAAATGACAAGCTCCCTCTGTGGAACAGGAACCAACACATCTCCTCCTCCTTCTCTCACAACAGCTTGGGAAATGAATGGCCTCCTGGTGCCTACCAACTTCCCCTCACGGTGCCAAGGCATGACTCAGTCACGCAGCCACATATTATCAGTTTCATTATTCACAAGAGCCAGGACAAGACAGTGCAATCCCCTCTCAATTATTGTGCTACCCAACATCTCACATGACACCTGCATCCCGCCAGCAGGGCCTGAGCAGCAGAACCAAAAGCACGTGGACTGTCATTCCCTGTCATTTCATAGGGTGGGTGAATGCTGACAAGTCCCAACAGAGGGACACAAATCAGGCCAGCAGCCTGGACTGGGGCAGCACAAGAGCACACTGGTTTATGTCATGAAGCTCCGAGGAGATTAAAAGTAATTATCCCCATAAATGCCCACAAAAGCACATCATTTCTGCACAAACACCTTCAGAGGCACAAGCAGCACAACATTCTTGGCAGTGCAGTAAAAACTGGACGTGTGCTGGTTGCTCCACTGACTTGCCGGCTGATGGGGAAAAGCTCTCCGAGCTGTGCAACACCCACCCCCACAGACCTGCCCTGGAGCCCTCTGCTGATGAGGAGGTGATAAACACACCTGCCACACCTGAACGAGTCTGCAGGGGTGCAGTTGGGAATTAGGCAGTGATTCCCACTCCCCAACACTCTTCCAGATTCACTTACTGATCTCTCTTTCAGAGGCTGCAAATTATCTACAGGACATTCTGCATTTTCCAGTACCTACACTGCAACGTGGGGGAAAAAGTTAAGTATCCTGCAGGTCTGAGCAGTCTACCCACGGGGATTTTAATTCCAAATGCTTCCCTTACAACACACTGTTTGCACCAAGTACCTGACACCAATTTGAGATGTATAACCCAAATATAAGGTACTCACCTTATATATATACAGATAATATATCCACCGAGTCAAACTGATTTATTCAATCAAAAATGTAAAAATGTATATTAATACATACAGATACGTATGTATATTCCTAAAATATATATATTCATATATACAGATATATATTCAAGAGTCCTACTGAAGTTGGGTTGCTGCCCCTGTGTCCCTTCTGCTAATCAAACCTCAGAAAAGAGTAGGATAGAGGGTCCTTAGCTACCCAAGTGGGAACAGACAGTTAAAAAAAGAATTCCTGCTTTTGAACAAATAAAATAAATAAATAAATGAAAGTTAACTGCCCTTCTGTTGACATATTTTTAAAATAAAATTCTCACTCCAGTAAAAATTCTTTATTTTCAGTGACAGAAGCAGCTCACCACATACTCAGAAATCCTTGATCCGAAATAAGTTATTCCTTAACATCTTGTGTGCTCACGAGAAGAAACTGCGAAACGACAAGCTGGAAGCAAGTATATGGAAATCCAAATCTATTCCAGAAGAAAATCAGGCATTTCAAGAAACTGGTGTAGCAGCATCTGAGCAGAACCTCCAGAGCTGCAGCTCTCATCAGCTCAAAGGGTTCAGAGGGATCCTTGAGCCCACTCGCTCCAAGTACAGTCCAGGAGCTCCACAGGAAGAAAACAAACCGTGGGGCTGGTGGAGAAAACTGGAGTGGCAGACAGAGCCCAGGCATCAGCTTCCCACTTGAGGGACCGGCTCCTTCCAGCTCATTAAATCTGCGGTTTAGGAAAACCTCAGCTTTAAGGAAAAACTTCAACTGTGATTTGTTTTAACAGCACGTAGTAGTCAAATTTCCGAGCGGCTGCTTCAAAGATCACTGTTGAAACAAAGTGCTAAATTCACACCTAGTTTGCACAAAGGCCGTTTCAATGCACGGCAGCTTTGAATTCATGATTTAAATAAATCACACAGCTCCACTCACACTCCAGAAAGCAGAATTCCAATCCTTCAGTCACCATCAGAGGCAAAAAAATCAATCATTTTGTCCAGGTTCAAATCCAAACAGCTCTTTTTCTTCTACGCTCAGCTGAAGAAAAGAGCAGTTCCCCTCTCGTCTGTCCTTACCCTGACTTCATCACGCCAGGGAAATTTCCACGGCGTCAGGAAGTACCTCGGAAATTGCTACGGAGGTTTGGCATTATGGGCAACGACCGGAGGACGGACTTTTGAAAAGGGAAAAAAAAAATAAAAAGAAGAGTGCAAATACACCCTGAAGCTCCGTTTCTGCTCTCTCAGCCCCCCCAAAGAGGAGAAGGAGCCTGTTCAGATCACAGCAGCCAGAGGTAATCGCTCCTGCACCACCACTCCCGTGTGCCTGTCCTGCTGATTCACGCCTTGTGCAGGGAATTGCAAGGACACGGGGAATTTTTTTCGCCGTGCCTGCCCAGCAGTCTGTAACCCAGCAAAGGAGATGTCAGGTTCATATTTCTCTGACAGAATCAGACAACACAATTAATGGTGGGGGTTTTTTAGGCTTGGCTGGAAGACATTTACTAAAATAGTTAACCTGAGTTTGAGCGACCTCACAGAAGTATGTTAAAGGTAATATGTGGAAGAGGGATTCACTTTCATCTTTGCCAGTGAAGGAAATACCAGTAATAATAATGTATTCAAGCACATCAGCAACTCCCCCACAGTCACTGTTTGCACCACATTTAACACAAGAACTAGAAAGCAATGGGTTGAACGCTGTGAAGCTGCAAATAATACTTAACTACAGCCTTCAGACAGATTCAGTCCCACCACAGGATAGCACTGCAACCCACTACACTCTCCCCCCCCCAAAAAGGCACAAAGAGAGCTAAAAGCTTTTCTCCCCACAGTTCTGCTGCTTAATCCACAAAACACATCCACAGGTGGCAGTGCCAGTGACCACAGGGCCCTCTAACTCTCAATCCTCGTGCCCAGTATATGACACTCCTCCCAGCTGCTGTCCCCTCTTTTTGACAAAGGTTTCCTGCCCTGCACTAAGGTAGCAAAAATGAAAGTACTCTCTCCACCCTCAGCAGCCTCAGGCACCTTCTCAGTGCCCACTGCAGCAGCTGAAGGGCAAATGTGCTCTTCTCCTCCACTGCAGAGTGCCCAGACAGGGTTTGTACTGTCTAAATCCCTCACCAGCAATGCTGGAGACCCAAAGCCAAGCCCCTCACAAATGCAGCTCCTCTCTTGATGAATCATTTTGGTTGGGAAAGATCCCTCCGATCACAGAGTCCAGCAGTTAACTCAGCATCATTAACCTTCCCACCTTTGCCCGGTGAGGGTGAGGCAGGACACACACGCAGAGGGAGCAACTTGTGTAGCTTAACCCACCCTGCTGTTCGTCCCAGCCCCTGCAGAGACCTGCACTGACTGATCTGCACGCGTGTTAAGTTTCAGTTTTACAATCTACGCCCCGCTGCTCACTATCTTTCTTCCTTTTGGGGATGAAAAGGGCCCGACAACCCACGGCATACCCAGGTCACAGGACCAACAGCAGTTCCTGTTGCTGCCACTGGTGGGAAAACACCCAGAAACAACCCTGACAGCGAGTAAAAACTGGAAAGTAGAGTGAGAACTGGGCAGTGTTTTCAGAAAGCCGACAGACACACACTGCTGCAGCACCTTAGTCTGAATGCTCTGGCTTTGACTTGCTTTTCTGTTGTTTCTTCCCCCCCCCCAGTTCCCCCTTGTGCGAGTGTAAAGCCGGGCTGCTTCCTGAAGAACTTCCTAAGCCTGCCCCTTGTGTCGGGCCTGGCTCCTCGGGGCTCCCTCAGGATTGGGATGGAGCCTCACACGCACTCCCATCCCAGCCAAAGCCGTGTGCTGCTATTTAGCTTCTCTGACTTCTAGGAAAGGACAAACATTTTTCCCCTCAAACTTGTTTTTCAGAATGACTAAAAGGAAATAAAGTTAAACTGAAGGCGCTCATTTTCCTCTCTGCTGCAGAGCACACTCACACTTTCCCTGGAAGCACTTGTATTTGAGCAGATTAAGTTTTAAATCTGTGTTCTGGTCACACAGCAGCCTTGCAAGGCCACAGGCAGGCATGGGTAGATGGTACCTTGTGTCAAATCAAACAGCTGCTGTAGAAAGCTCTCACATTGTGATAACTTGAATTTGCCTTCTTAAGATGTTCAAATTAATATATTTGAGGAATCCAGGCTGCACCTCTGATTTCACTGCCTGGGATGTGATGGAAAACTAAACTGGACTACTGCTTGGAAAAAGAAACCAAAACAGACCACATCAAGATCAGAGCTGTTTGATAACATGCATATAAAATTCCTCCTCCTGGCACACAATCCCATGCTTTACACTGCCACTGATCTCTGAGGAGCCAGGACTAAATCAGTGAAATA